ATTTCCAAATAAGAGTAAAGAGGTTGTATATTTTGAATTTAAAAGCTTATTTTGTAAATAATAGGTTAGAAATAATTAGCAGTCACCGCTTGTTGGGACAAGAAAATTATTTGTCGATTAAAGAGGTTACTCGCGCTAAAAGTTAATTGTTTTCGGAAAATATCTAGCTTCTAGGAACTAAAGTCTTTATTAAACGACAGTGTAATATCAAGTTAAAATATAAACTGATGGCCATTGTCTCATCAACTTGGGAGGAGACACGAGTAATATACACTAATTTAACGGGGTGTTTTGAGAAACATCTGACGAAAAATGTTGTCTCTGTTCTTCCAAGGAGACTGAGAGAGAAGACGATATATTTCAGTACATGTTTTCGCAATGAAAACTGGTTATATGATAGTTTCAGGAAATTGTCAGACGAGGTAAAATATTATATTAACTTTTCGCAGTAACTTTATAAAGCACCGGTTTAATATAAAATCACTGGAAACACCGTGTCATAATTAAATATACTTTTAAACAGTAAAATTACTTTCATAATTATGTCTCATTAGGCTTTTAATAAAAGTTCATTTATTACCTATCGTCCAACTCTGTCTTTGTGAACTTTATTAAACGTTTTTTTCATAGAGAATTTATAAAGTAGTAAAAAATATAAGAAAAATCTTTCATCGAATTTAATTTAGACGTCTATTGCAGGACAGAGAGTATACATTACCACATAGATAGCTGTTTTAGTGCTGCACGTAGCCGTTAAGTGGTCTCCAACTTAATCTATACTAAGGGGCTACTTTTGTGACTAATTAACTGCTCTGAGTGCAGTAATCAATTTCTTAATCTAATGGACTCCTAACCTTAACCAAATTATCTGTTATAGACTAAGGCTCTTCGTATACAAGGCAACGTAAATCTTCGAGACTAATATTGTATGGTTGCTTCCCCAGAATCGTGTTGCGTGAGTTCCGAAAACAAAGAATCGTTTACGCCAGTTTTTATTTGGTCATGTCATAGCGTCTATATCTATATATTTTTTTAAAGATTATGAAAAGAACACCAAAATCATCATCATCATTAGCTCACTAAACGTCCCCACCGAGGGGCTCAGAGCCTACCGTAATTTGCGGGTGATTAGACCATAGTCAACCACGCTGGCCAAGTGCGGGTTGGTTGACTTCACACATATCTTTGAATTTCTTCTCAGATATGTTGCATCGCGATGTTTCCTTTCACCGTAAGAACGTCGGATAAATGTACATATGTAAATCGGAATTCGAAAAACACATTGGTACAGGTCGAGATTCGAACCCAGGACCGGCAGATTGCAAGTCAAATGCTTGACCCCTGAGCCACCGACGCTATATTATAGCGACCAATATTATCGTATAGATATTGAGACAATGAAGATTCAACAATCAACGACACATTATGCATTTCACACGATGTTACCCTTCTATCCCCCAATTGACTTTTATTTGACCGTATCGGGTTTGGCGTTTTGGGAATTCGGATATGAGTGTTGACTATAGCTTAGCATCAAGCTTTAATTTAAATTCAATTTGCCTCAGAATACTTAGTGATTGGAATTTAACGTATTTCTACCGCAATGAATATTAATATCTATCCCAATAGAATAAGGACTATTTTTTATCGCACTGTTGCCACCTCGTCGTACTTCTATCCTCTGACGGATTTCATATAGGGTCCAGGAAGGACTCTTTATTATGAAATACGTTTGCTTACTTAAGTTTTAGAATATCCTAGGGTATTAATTTTGACTGAAGTGGTTAATAATTTTATTGACGTGTAATTCAATACGATATTCTTTACTGAGTGATTGGGCTACAGTTAGTTAGGTTTTTGTTTTTTTAAGGACCAAATCATGTTATAAATTCACGAGGTTTGTCATAAACTTTTAAAAGTCACATCCGAAGCGCATGTATAAAATCATATTATCATCCCTTTTATTCATCATTGTAAAACAACGGTAAATTACTTTTACTATAAAGTGTGCTGATAACAATTCTATTACTTAAGTCACAACAAGTTACACTAAAAGCACGCAGTAATAGTCGATAGAAATAAGTCCATTAAAAGTGACTTATAGAGTTGACTTGAACTAATGGCTATTCGACTCAATAATAAGTAAGAAAAGCTTAGCACATAACGTATACTCGGATGGCATGTTACGCCTGACTCGCGTGGAATTTAATATATGTTCTGTGAACTGGAGACTTCACCCTAATGAAGAAAACCACCTTAAATTCTTTTTGCAATAAAATAATTCTGGTTCTTAATCAATTCTGTGTGTCTCCCCTTTGTCTACAATAATCTCTCCAGACTTAATCGATTGATTTACTAAGTTTAATATTTTATTTATTACTTTTGAAACGGTTTTATTTGACTAGCTCTGTTTATTTGGGCCAAATCTAGTAATTTAAATTGGACCCTTCGGCAGTTAATAAATAGATCTGTTTGGTATACATCTTTACTTTTAATTCTCATTAAAAGTAAAGATGTATACCATATTAAACCGTGTGATGTCTAAACTTTTTTTAACGAATTATTCATTAACGTATTATTTTGTCTACTGCGCATTTCGATGAGTATTTCACATCAGATGAAATTCTTCCATCGAAATTTAGTATGATTTCAAAAACCCGCCACTTTGACATACGTTTACGTGAGTTTCTGAGAGCAAAATCCCCGTTTAAGACATATTGTTATCTCTGTTTTGTCAAGATAATGACTGAGGACTGACGATATATTTTATACAGAAATTTTGATCTCAGAAATGAACGGTAGAAGTGCTACTGATAGTTACATATCAGCCATCTGATGAAAAAAGTTACAAGTCTTATGCGATTTTCAAGGATATGTGATATGTAACTCTATTCTTCATTTGGTCGATACTACCTAGCTTCGGGTATCGTATACTATAGCAAATTGCATTGCAGTCTATTGTTCTAAACTTAGCAAGGTCTTTATTATTAAGCGTCCGGAATAAAGTAAGAATCGCGTCATTGTTTGCGAGGAGCAGAGAGACGTCGACTACGTTCCGCGGCCGCGTTGTAGGTATACTTAAGTCACGCGTCTATAAAATGTTAGTCGTTCTGTAAACTTACGATACAATTTTAGCGTATAGTGTTGTGTATGCAGTACAGCTTCGTGTACTTAGTACTAACGTCACTATACTAGCTTTCGCGCGCGACTCCGTTCGTACGGAATTGAAAATATAATAGTAGCCGATTCACAGACCTACTGAATATGTAAAAAAATATAATAAAAATCGGTCAAGCCGTTTCAGAGGAGTATGGTAACTAACATTGTGACACTAGAATTTTATGTATAAAATTTATACATACATATATAAATAGTCGAATTCAGCAAACATGGAAAATATGTTTACACAAAGATTTTTTTCTATGGATTTATATTAAAAAGTTTTAGCTCCTCAATTGATGATAAAATATGTCTTTTTTAAATAAATGTTTACATAGTTTTGTTATAATTTGACATTTCCATTGAATTTGACTATACACGTGTGTTTATACGAGACTTCTGATCTCGAGACTCGAGTTCGAAATTCGAGCCGTCTGATATATATTTATAAACATCGATTGTAACTACGCCTACGTAATCCAACATGAATACATAAACATCAAGTATATAACTGTTGTTTTGCAGTCTGTACTTTCTTTTCCAGAGTATTCCACTTGGCTAAATTAGAGAAAGGATCATTTCTTTCAGTAATTAATCACTGGTGTGTGTGATGCAATCCGGTCACGAATCTGTAATGTGATGTCTTATATTTTTATTAGATACTAGCTGTAGTCCGCGAATGTCCGCGGGGAATTAAAAAAGAACTTAGTAGACTATGCGTCCTTCCAGACTATGTTCTATGCGTATGCCAAATTTCATCGAAATCCGTTCAGCAGTTCTAGAGATACCTTCAAACATCCATCTATAATACATTCGCATTTATAACATACTAATTGTCGCCCGTGACACATTAAGCGCGGTATTGAAAAAAATCTTAATTAGTAGTCTATGTGTTCTCTCAGGCTATGTTCGATATGTATCCCAAATTTCATAGAAATCCGTTCAGCCGTTCCCGCGATATCTACAAACAAACATCCATCCATCTAAACATTCGCATACATAATTTAGATATATATAAATCACATTAGTTAGATATAAGCTCGTGCTCGTTATATCGCTAGAATAAATTTGATAAGATTATATTAATTTCTATATTTTCTGTTAAAAAATGCTACTATCTGCAGGTTCATCCTTATTCTGTATTCGATAAACAATAACGAAAGCTGTACGCTAGAAACATGGAGTAGTATTTGTCGTCCGCTTCGTGCGCAATATAATATTAAAAGAGTATAGCACGGCTCGCTTCGCAATCGTAGATCGGTAGTTGTACATCATTTTAATAGTCTGTTCCTGATATAGGCTGATTCGGTCGATGGTTATTTTTACCGACATACATAGAAATAAGCATATGTTTAACTCATATGAGTTTGTAATTTATTGTTTAATGACGTCATCGGACATTGAAATTAGAACTGATGCTATATTGTTGGATAGCGCCGTATTACTCTTATCCGAGCCAATTTCTTTTTTTTAATTTATTTGTGATTAATTAACTTATATTTGGGATACGCTAATTTAAGACACAAAAAAGTACACGCAATCTCGATTTTTTGAATTTGTTTTTTTACTGTATGCGATTCCAGAAAATATATATGTTTTTTTCATGTAATTTTTTTTACTCGTAATTATGAAAGGAAATTGCAAAGCGGGACAGTGTGATAGTTGCGCTGCTTCTAGCATAGATGTATAAATCCCGCCCAATGTAGTGTTGAAGTGCGTTTGCCAGCGATGGACAATACGCGTCGGCTGCGACAGCAATACACAGAACTCCGCCCGCCAACACCCGCTGCCCGCTACCCGCGGCTGAGCACAGCGCTCACCGCTCGTCGACAACCAGCCTCATTCGTTCGCTGGTCGCTATCCGAAGCGGCAGTAAGCGAACATTCGCTCTTATCCAGAAAATGGGTCGCTTACTTAAGATACTCATTTTCTTAAACTTAGTAAATTACGCGTTCGGCGAAATACCATGCCCGGCTAAATGCCAGTGCATCCGGAACGCGGTCCGATGTCTCCACCAGGACTTGCAGGCAGTTCCGAAAACACCGACGGACGCGCACACACTGTAAGTACTAAAAACTTTAAGTGAACTTTTTTGCGAGTTGCGGTATAATGCACGGCGCGAGCAAAACTTTGCGAAAGATTTTGTCGCGAGCTTTAGGCTGGCTATGTCTGCTTTGCGAACAACCGGTCGCTGCAGCTCGCTAACTCTTAAGTTTAAATAGCCTGACAATAAATTCGCGATGCAAAGTTAGGTCCTCGGCCAATGCCCTAAGTCACTTTTTGTGACCGTGGACCTTTGTATTTATGGTTAAATAATGATTCTTCTTTATAAGTTGTAAAATGTTTTTAAAATATCAGCCAAATGCCTTTAATTTAAAGTTTTTATCAAACTTTTTATAGATACATTTTATGACATTTTTTAACGCAGTTGTATCAGATAAATAAATTTAACAAAGAAATTAAAAAAAGATGTGAATTATTTTGCTTAGGTGTTTAAATAAATATAATTTAAAGTACTATAAAACGCTCGCGCCGTGCGGTAAAGCTCGCAAAAGTTACAGAAATTATTTCTTAACTTTCGTCATGATTTTCTACGTGTAAATTGAAAATATTGTTTTATAATACCGTTATTTAATCGGTAAAAAAAATATTATATTTCCAAACCGAATGTCACATCGGTTCAAAAAATACTCACTCTTTCTAAAAAAGATATTGTGCATTAAAAAAAATTTATTAAATATAAAAATCTTGTAATTTAATTTAAAATAACGATAAAATATATAATAAATCGTCATTCCAAAAATGCCGTGATAAAGAAAAAAAATAATTTTCTCTTTTATTTTTAAATCAATTAATTAAAATATAACCATAAAATAATCTGAACAATTTCTTATTTTTTTCGAGAACAAACTTAAAAAAAAATTGCCGTCGGTAAATTTCAAAGATATTTTTTTCATCCTTTTAACGTTAGGCTTCAACATTAGGTGTGTATGAAAGTAAAAAAAAAATAATACATTTTTGTGTCTGTACGTTTGACCTCGTCTGGAATTGAACACAGGAAGTGCGATTCAATGGCTATGTAATCTAATCATAAGCTTCCTGTAATATTTTTACGAAATAACTTAGAATTTCGGAAACACACATGAAAATAATCACGTAAGCCATGATACCTTGAATAAAACTTGTGTAACACAGTTAACGATTTATAGAAAGAAAAAATATCATTCTGAAAAATATGTCGTTTTATTTAAAAATAATTATTTTATTGGCTATTAAAAAAATATAATTAAACTTAAATAAAAGTATTTTTTATCATGAAAATCTGAAAAAAAAACGCAACAAAGTACAAAGGTTTTAGAAGAATATCGGAAGTCTTATAATTGAGTAAATAGAAGTAATAAAAATCGGTATCATAGTAAAAACCTGGAACTATATCGCATACCTCAAAAATGATCTAAAGTTAGCCTTCTCGTTTTCTAACTTTATTAATTTTGGAAAAAACATACGACCCTTTGTTACAAGCCTTTATTAGACAAAGTGGACACGTATTTGTTTTACAATAAAAAAAGAATCGCAACGGACTAGTAAAAAACGAATAGGAAACGGACAAGCGAAAAGTCGAATCACAGCGGAAAACTAGAAAAATGAATGGCGACGGATAATTAGTTAGACGAATAGCGACGGACAAATGGAAAGTCGAATCACAACGCAAAACTAGAAAAACGAATGGCGGCAGATAAGTGTTTAGACGAATAGCGACGGACAAATGGAAAGTCGAATCGCAACGGCAAAGTAGAAAAACAAATTGCGACGGATAAGAGGAAAAACGAATAGCGACGGCCAAGTTAAAAGCCGAATCGCAACGTAAAAGTAGAAAAACAAATGGCGACGGATAAGAGGAAAAACGAATAGCAAAGGACAAGTAAAAAGACGAATCGCAACGGAAAAGTGGAAAAACCAATGGCGACGGATAAGTGGAAAATCGAATAGCGACGGACAAATGGAAAATCGAATCGCAACGGAAAAGTATAAAAACAAATGGCGACAGATAAGTGGAAAAACGAATAGCGACGGACAAGTAAAAAGAGGAATCGCAACGGAAAAGTGTAAAATCGAATAGCGGCAGATAAGTGGAAAAACGAATAGCGACAGACAAGTGAAAAGACGAAACGCATCGGAAAAGTGGAAAAACCAATAGCGACGGACAATTGGAAAAACATATTGCGTCGGATGAATGGAAAAAAGAATGGCAACGGACTAATGGCAACACAAATCGCATTAAACTTTTAACTTGAAGTTTACGGGCGGATTTTCAATTTGGGCGGATTTACAATCTGTCTTTTAATTAAAAAATAATAGGACCATATGACAAGCATTACCTGTCAAATAAAAAATTATCGAAATCAGTGAAGAGCGGAGCTACGAATTAATAACAATCATAAAAACCCTACGCGGCCATTACGCTTTTTCGTAACATAAAATTTCTAAGACTATAAAGAAGTTTGACACTCCCGTATATAACTGTTTCCATTAAAAGTCCCGCCAAAATCGGCTCAGCCGTTCAACGGAGATTAACCAGATAACGCGGACTTCCAATTATTAAAACATAAAACTTGCAAAAAAATCAACGTTTTTTACTGTTTTAAATACATCAAAAGTTGACGAAATATATTAATTTTGTTTTGATATCACATACAGACATATCTATTCTATGAATTGTAAATATTATAATTAAAAAAAAATATTATTTCATTTGTGGTACAGCGCTGATAGCCGTCTGACCGTTTTCGACAAGTTTCCGGTCGATACAACAACTTATCATAGCTTGTTATTTTTGGCACACAAAGAATAATTTCGTTGATATGAAATTTCAAATTTACTATTTTTTAATCAATTTAATGCGAATGTAACACTGCTTTCGACGGTCAAAATGAATTTTGTTCTATCTTCTAATTAATTATTATTTTCTAAAAGGACCCTAGAGAATAACAATCTTATTTAGGTGGTTTAATTTATTTGAAAATCCAATTACTCGTATGTATGCTTTACATGGATGATTGGATGGATGTATGTTAGAAGGTATCTCCGGAACGGTACAACGGATCTTGATGAAATTTGGCACAGACTTAGAACATAGTCAGGAAGAATATATAGGCCGTTAACTTTTTTTTTAATTTCGCGCTTACGGAGTTGCGACAAGAATACAAATTGAATTATTTATATCATAAGGTGGCAAACGAGCGAGCGGTCACATGAAATAGCGAAGTGACCGTTGCCCACAAACATATGCAATTGCATATGCGTAATCAATAACATATGTACAACGGCGTATGTTATGTACAATCGACAAAGATATCAAATCTCAAATGTGCAAAGATACTGTTACAATCTCTATTGTTAGAACTAAATACAATACTGCATAGAACAACATACTATAGGTAACGTAGATTATCTTTAGGTATATTAATACGTAGCCTCGGCGGCTCAGAGGTTTAGCACTTGAGTTGTAATCTTTAGGTTCTAGGTTCGAATACTGACATGTACTGACATGTTTTTAACAAGTGTACAAAGCTATAATTAATCTATATGTATCTAGAGGTAATATTACAAAGAAGAAAAATTAATTTGTTTGTCTTTTAATAAGCTCCGAAACTATTGAACCGATTTGAAAAATTCTTTCACTGTTGGGAAGCTACATTATCCCCGGATGACATAGGCTGTATTTATTTTTAGATGTTTTTTTTAATTTCGCGCGGTCGAAGTTGCGGGCAACTGGTAGTCGAAAATTAAAAACTTTGTCTTTACACTACAGTCGAATTTCGAATGGTCGCCCACTAATTAATATTACAACATTTAATTATATACTTACTTTATGTATCCGAGCAATGAAAATACACATGCTAAGATATTTTACGTACTAACCTTCTCATTTATTTATTGTTTGCTTAACCAATTATTTAATTTCACACGCAATTTACACTAAGCGTCTCCCTTTGTGAGCACTTGAAGACTCTGAGTGCCGTAGTTAAGAGCCTCATTATAATTCTCGAAACAACTGTGCTATTTATAACGATCATTGAAGCGATTAAATTAGCCTAACGTCTTCAATAGCGTTCAGAGTTTTAATAGAAAGAACAACTTGAACGTCTCAAAGTATTTTTAAAACTTTATCTTATGGACATATAACAATTTTATTATAAACGTAATCATTTGAGATTGTGAATAACTTACTGCTTGCAAATAGTTATTTTAAGATAAAATAGAACTTTAGTGTAAATATCTCTAATTATAAGCTTTTTTAAGAGATTTCTATTAAGAGAGCGTCGGTGGTTCAGGGGCGAAGCGCTTTACTTATAATCTGCAGGTCTTTAGTTCGAATCCCGCCGAGTAACAATGTGCTTTCGATTTACGATTAACATATGTACATTTATTCGGCTTTCTTATGCTGAAGGAAAACGTCGTGATGCAACCTGCACATATAAGAAATTTAAAGATACGTGTAAATTTAACCAACCCTCACTGGGCTAGCATGGTTGTCTATGGCGTAGTTACCACTAACTTAGGGTTGGCTCCGATCCGCTCGTTGGGGATTGTCCCGATGCTTGTCATGAATTCATGTACATTAAATGTGATTCTCTACCCGGTTACTGTTTGCACACATGTGTAAATCGCGGGAACGTTATAATGACAAGGTTCTGAACTGATGATGGAGCTGGAAGGTGGATGTAGGAACTTTGCAATTAAACGACACAATCACATCGAGTTTGGGCTCGTTTGAATTGTCTTGACTTATAGTTTATCTTTTTATAATTTTTAGTTCTTTTAATTAACAAGAACATAATCAAATCATAGTATTAAAAAGTTTTTTTTTTATTTTAGTTATTCTAGTAAACTGTCTATAGTAGTTAGTGGAATTTAATATGTTTTTATATTTAACACGGCAAATATAATACGGATTTTAAAAAAATAAGGTTTGAAATTTGTGGTACGTCGTAGAAATAATATCATAATTTACCTAAAATGGATCGGTCATTATCCATACGATCACCTATTATATTTATA